TAAGGTTGTCTGGAACAAGCTATTGAATCTTAATATGCTTTTGTACGCTGCACACATTCAAAACATCACATAGTGATGGTGGCAGGTACAAGCTTCTAAAACATGACCACAATCCTAGCAGTGTTGAGACACAGACCTGATCAGCCTCCGACAGATTGCTGTGGGATATTTTGACACTCTTAATGGGTTTGGCCTGCTGGGCTGTTCGTCAACAGTTGTCCTGTTGTTGGCGACTTGGCGACTTGTTGTTGGCTTCACAAATGTCCTGTTGGACACAGGTCTTGAGAAAAAGCTGGCCAAGGAGAGACCTCAACACTGTTTAAATGAAGTCATTCCATTGTAATCCCAGCACTGTGAAATGTGGTCTTGCATTTCCCTGTTGAAAAATCGAGACTTCCTGATTGATTTCCAGTGTCCTTAATGGGGAACCTTAATTTGACCAGTTGGTAGAAGATGATTTGTCAGGTGACTGAAGACGACAGGTCATTCCCATCATTCTGTGCACCATTTTGCATTTTGTTGTAACTTTTACTGTTGCACATTCATTTTAACTGTAACTACACACGTCAGTTTTCAGAAGAGTCGGAAGGGGGTTGTGTGAAATACTCTGATGTCTTGACCTCCTGTTTTTGAAGGTGGTGTTCTGCAACAGTCTAATTAGTTACAGTAATTACAACAGTTACAGTAAATAACAACCCATCGCTCTGTGTCCCCAGGCGAACAGTGGCCCTGGCACTAATGGCTGCCAGTTTTTCATCACCTGTACCAAATGTGACTGGCTGGATGGGAAGCATGTGGTTTTCGGTGAGTCGAACTTTGACTGTGTTTATGTGGCTTGCTGCCTTTCATTCGGTGGTGAGTAATTTTGATCTGATGCCATGACTGTCTTATCAGTCATGGCATCAGACTTAACAACAACCTGCAATGCCCAGTTGCTATTCAACCATGCCTACCACCACAACCCCACTTCGCTTCAGCAGAACTGTAGGCATAGCTGTGAGGGCAGTCCTAGCTGTCTTATCTTTCTGTATCCCATCAACCCTTGCAAGCATAGTCTGGTTTCTCTTCATGTTGTATAAATCATTCATCTTTTACCCTAGATTTCACCTCATCAATCCTTGCAAGCACATTACTTAGTAGATAAGGGGATCTGTATCAAGACCCCTGCTCTTGCTAAACTGTGTTAACGATCTGGTTTGCTACATAGCAAGTGAACTAATCTAGTTCACATTTAATACCAAAACAGGAGGGTTAGCAAGCGCTGTGTAAGACAAAGCAAAATTCAGAAAGACCAAATTCAGCTCTGGACAAACATTCAACAGATGGAGTGTAATGCAGACAACTACAGAATGTTGCATCCAGGGAGCAGAAACATAAACCATTAATATATAAGAGAAAATACTGAGGTTGTACAAGCTTCGTACTGCATAGTAAGAACTTAGCTGTCTGCTAATGCATAACGGTCCTTGTAGACAACAACCAGAAAGTTAGGATATAGCGGATATAAAGTGGATATAGAGGAAAATAGGGATGTTGTGTTACAAAACATTCTTGTTCAGAATATCAGTTTTGGCCACCACATTCCAAAAAAGATATTCTGGAATCGGTCCGGAGAAATGTGACCAGGTTCTTTGATGGGCTTTTAGGGACTGTCCTACACCAACAGTGTAAAAATAACCAAATCTCTGAGTCTTGAGCAAAGAAGACTACGAAGGGGACCTGATTCAAGTATTCAGAATCCTCCAAGGCAGTGACCGGTTCAGCCCCTTCACTGGACTGGAGAAGTGCAGTTAAAATTGATATGAGGAGGCGCCTTTTTCCACAAAGGGTTATGGATTATATCAGGAACAAGCTATCCAGCCACGCTGTCAATCTGATACCCAGACTTCCTTCAAGACATGGCTGAATGAGCCATTTCTTCCCGTAGGTTCAGTTAGAGACCAGCAACCCAGCAAACTTATGGGGTCTAATGTACCTGTTCTCACGGTCCCAATAACCAGGAAAAAACAGTTTAGTAGTATGTTTCAACTAGAAAGTGACATTAAACACAGAGATGAAAAAATGGTTGATAAATGCATAGATTCCATGGGTGGAAAATAAGCAATTGATTTGGGAGAAACAAAATGTGAGCTCTTGCTGTCACACGGTCTTACCTTGTTATGTATAGAAAATAATTCCAGATTAGTTGCAAACTCTGGGGATGTAAATACAAGCAGAATTATCAGCAGTACCTTCATCTGTCTAGATTGTGAGCATGTGACTATTTCATGGTACTAATGAGGCAGTCTCATTTGGCGTTACCTCTTTACAAAATAATCTTAGAAAAGTATATCACATTTCTCTTTATTCTTATTGCAGTTAGATTCAAGCTAAATGCTTAAGAAATGACAGGCTAGACAAAAGACTTAGGTTAAAGAGGCTGTTTCCACCATTGAAATAAAACGTGTTTTTTAAGAAAGTTCTATGTATATGTTAACCTTTTTTTGTTTTTTTCTTTAGGGAAGGTTGTTGATGGCCTGCTTGTCATGAGAAAGATTGAGGTACGTTTCTGATTCTTACGCTGTGAAAGAACATGTGAGAAATCGTGTGTGATGTGAAAAATTAGAGATGCTGATATGATGAAGTACAGTACAGCCAAGCCATAGTGACTGCAGAATCTGTCTGGAAGCTTGTACAGATTTCTCCAGTGTTCAGGATCAAAACCGCCCTGGACTACAGCATTTCTACTTTATTGCTGCTGCTAGGTGCTGTTTAAAAGTGATAATTGCTTGGGAAGACTAAATAATTCTTCCAGTTCGGTGCTGTATGTGCAACCCGACTTTGGGGGGAAAACTAATATTCTTTGTAGACAAATCTAAGAGACAGTTTGTGTCAAGTGCTGAAATGACTACATGGAATAAATGCAGAAAGCTGCTGAGATACATTCATCCATTTTCTAGCCATTCATCCAATTGAGGGTAGTGGGGGAGCTGGAGCCTATCCCAGCAAGCAACGGGTGAAGGCAGGGTACACCCTGGACAGGACACCAGTCCATCACAGGGCGCACTCACACACTCACACCAGGGCCAATTTCCAAAGGAACCAATTAACCTACCAGCATCAGTTTTGGCTCTGGGAAGACACCAGAGCACCCACAACCAACACCCAGACTCCAACACCAACAGCACCCCAGGGCTCCAGCACAGCATGGCAACAATGATTACCACCGCCACACCATGCCGGCCCAGGGTATGCATTTGTTCTTGAAAAGGGTGAAAAAAATCTGGATATATTTTTTACCATCCAAAAACTGTCACCATGAAGGAACAAAAGAGCCAAGTAAGAAGGAAGTGATTGAACAGCACTTCTGTTTTGTTTCCTTGATTTACATTTGACCTGAGAGACCCACGAGCAATGCTGCTTGCTACAGATAGGCCCGGACCAACCTGTTCACTTTTGGACCAACTAAACAATGGCTGAATCCCGCATTTACTTGGAATTTCAGGGAATGGGACCATCCAGCCTCTAGTTAGGGCTCCCATCTCACTAATCTTTGTTTCTCGCTGGGCTATTTAACATTGAATGACAGCATGTCCCAGTGCAGTGTTAGTGTGTGAGAATGCAGATCTCCAGTCACTTTTAAAGTCAATTAATGTCACCTGGAATTTGGGTTCTTTGAAGAATTTAAAGTTAAAGATTTGATTAACATTGCTGCCTCACAGTGATGGGGCCTTGGGTTCAATTCCTGGGGTGTTTTCTGTGTGGGGTTTGTATGTTCTCCCCTTGTTCGTGTGGGTTTCCTCCCACAGTCCAAGGGCATGCTGGCAGGTTGATTGTCTTTTGGGGAAACCGGCCCAGGTGTGTGCGTGTCTGTGTGTCCGCCTTGCGATGGACTGGCGTCCCGTCCAGGATGTACCCCAGCTCGCACCCCTTGCGTGCCAGGATAGGCTCTGTCCCTCCTGCACCCCTGTACGGGATGAAGCGGTTTGAAAATGGATGGACGGACAAAATGATTCCTGTTTAGATGGAAGCTCTGGTCTGGCCCAGGCCCAAGTGAACCATAGGAAAGGTGGTTTTCTCACTGGTACTCTTGCGGGATTAAGTGAAATGCAGGTCTCGTCTGTGCGCCTGTGTGCTCCATTGCGAGGGGACATGAATCTGCTCCCTGGGACTTAAGTGTACACTGCCCTACTTATATGGTGCACTCTGACTTGACAGTTTTCTAACACTCCCGAGGACGGGATCAGTCCCTCATCCTTTTTTCCCTGGCACCATAAAGAGGACGTTACAAACACAAAGGAAAAATCATAGAGGTTTACAGCAAGTGAGGAGCTGTGACAGTGTCTGTTGGCTGCAGAGCAACACGGAGGGCTTAATTCCACTCTGATGAGTGTGAAAGGTAATATTATGGCACTTTCCTGAATTTTGATGGAGGCAGAGCAGAACGGTGTAACAGGAAGACCTGATCTGCCAATTCAGTGGTGCTGTTCCTTGTGAATGGAAACCAAGGGGGCAGAATTTCACATTATAAGATGGAGGCCCTCAGTTACCAAGGCTTGTTAACATTAAAATACAAACTTGTTGGAGTATTTTATGTACTCAATACTGTAGTATGTAGTAGACAGTCTATGCACATCACTACAAGTTGTAGAACCCTGCTCACCCTACTGCTGTGTGTACCAGGTTTCTCAGGCAGTCGCAGCACGTTTTGTTTAATAAAGTACTACACACACGTTACACATACGTTTTGCGAAACGCAGAATAGGAATTAATAGGCAAATAGGGTAAGAAAGATCAGTCCCCACCTGGCGTTAGTATCTTTCTCCTCCTGATTAATTAGCTGCAGTTCTTAATGTGTTTGTCCATGTGTCTGGCTCTGTGGGACAGCTTTAGGAAGATCTCCCAGTAAGCTTTTCAATTCTGTTCCGAGTTCACAGCTCTGCATGGAGAAACTGCAGGTATATTTTTCAGGAGCTCCTAAGAGTAAGCAGGATCGTGTCCTGAAGGGGCTTACTGGCCTATATCACAAAGCATTACATAAACCGTCTTTAGGACAAACTTAGCTGTTTTGCCTAAGGATACGAACTGTATATCTTGAGCACTAATCTCGTTGAGAAGTAAATTCCTCTCACTTAACCGTACTGATGAAAATGGTACTGGTTTATTCACAGGCTTTAAGACTGCAGTTACAGTTAAGTTACAGTTACAGTTAAGACCCAGGTCTTAATGGAAATGCAGGTTGTCTCGTGTTTTATCTGTCACATGACCCATTTTTCCCCGAAAAATGTGTCCATTTGCCAGCTAGAAGAAAAATGTGCAGAAAACGGGTCTGGATGTCTGCCTCTATGTTTAACCGCTGACTTGCTCTCTGGGTGTATCGCTGTGGGGTATTATGTCCGCGATGTGTCTCGAGCAGTTGCTGTGAAACCTGATTTGAATATTCAATGAGCAACAAAATCATGTAGAACCTGTATGTGTTTCTACACCACCTGGTGTAGAATAGCCACAGTGTGTGGTGGCAGCAACAGACCCTGTGAGCGCACACGGGGGAGAGTGAGGAAGTGTCGGGAGACTGCTCCACCCCGCCCCCTGCAGGAGCTTCCACACCAACAGCGCCAATTGCCTGCAGCCAGAGCAGTCGCTGTGTGGCAGACTGATCCCACCCTATCCTCAATGCCACTCGGCCAATTGTGCGTCTCCTTGGGAAATCCTAGTCACAGTCGGCTAGTGACATGACCCAGAGCTCGGACCCGGGGTCTTACAGCTCATCCTAGTTTGGGCCAAGCGCCCTTAGCTGTTACACCATTCGGGGGTCAGGGAAGACCCCTTAAAGGGTCAATTTGGGGGTCAATAACAATATTATGAGCATTCTGATATTAGTTAAATATAGTTCAAGTAGGGAGCTGCGTCAGCGTGCGTAGGCTACAAAGGGACAAGTAAAGGTTTATTCCATGCAGAAAAGAGAAGGAAAGAAATGCAACGCAAATAAAAACGTTGTGTTTGTTTTCTTCTCTTTTCAGCACGGAATAAACTTTTACTTGTTCCTTGGCTAAATATAGACCAAGTTGTCTTGTTGGTCACGGGTTAAGAATCGGATCTTAACCGATAGGTTGGACGTGACAGGAGTTTGTTAGGACTGTGGAGTTGTCCCAGGAGCAAACAGGATTCCTTGGGGAAAGTTGGAAATCCAGCAGGTGCTCCTGCTGTTCGATATGGAGCTGTCACACGGCTGGCCTATACAGTACTCTTCAGCGGGCAGAGCTGCAGACCCCACTCGGATTGTCACTCTCATACTTCAGGGTACAGTTTACCATTTCATACTGGCGAATTAGTGCCTGCAGTAACACACTGAGCTACTTTGCATTTAACATGGTCATGAGAGTTGGACGGGTTCGTGATATTGGTTGGACCCACATCAGTATCCTGTTGATTTGGTAAACCTGATTAAAAATCCCCGTGTTTCTCAGCTGATCCTCTGAGTGGGGAAAAACTCCCCTTCTTTCCCAGGATGTTCTAGAAATCTCGGATGTGCTGGGTCCTGACCCAGCGACGCGGGGAAGCTAGCGAGCGAGACGGGCGGGATATAGGGAACCGGCGTGGTGCTGCTCGCGGTCCTGACCCGTTCCTTCCCCCTTCTCTTCCAGAACGTGCCCACCGGGCCCAACAATAAGCCCAAGCTGCCCATCGTCATCGCCCAGTGCGGCGAGATGTGACCTTGCCTCGGGGCCGCCCCCCTGCAGGACCCGCTGGGGCGCCTGTTGGATCTTTGCGGCGGGGTGCCCGGGGTCGGGAGGCCTGACGTGACCCCCGGAAAATTCGCGACGGCAGGGGTTGGCTGGACAGCACCAGGACGGGTCTCGCAATCGAGGGCCGCGGCCCTCTTCACTGTCTTTATCCCTCCTCTTCCCCTCCCCTCTGGAGCCCTGCTGGGTCTGGTCCCTCTGTGATCCCCAGAGTGAATAACCGGCTCTGGCTCTTCTGGTCAGATATCGAGAGGGGGCCAGATCTTTTCGGCAGATTGATTTTTGAAGCATTTTATTTGTGGTCATGTTGTGTTGGAGGTGTCGGTATGCTGCCTTAAGATGAAATGTGGAAAGATCAGCAGGGCCTTTCTGGGATCAGCTCCCATCTCTCCATTTGTGTTCGGATCCCTCTTCCCAGAGTGGCTGTGGTTTTCTGCTAACTTGTCGCCGTCTGGGGAGCATCCGAAACGCCGAATTGAATTCAGGCATCTCTTGTCAAAAGCCTCCTGATTTGGGATTTGTGAACTTGATTAAACTTCATTTTATGTTTATTTTTCAGAAGGTGTTTGCTTTCTATTTATAATGGGCTCCTTGCATTATCTCACTCCTAGTGCAAGTGATGTTAGCAGGTCAAAACGCCTTGTTCTTCTGTTTAAGAATACACCGTAGACGTCCATTAGTTTCTGTGGTAGTCAATTTAATGCTGTTAAGTGTCGCAAATGCCGAACAAGCTGGGTCCTCGATTGTGATTCTTTGCCTTTGTATGACACTTTTCATAGCAAAGGATCCCGTGCATATACAGCAGGAGGGGACAGACTTTATCCCCCACAGAAGTGCAGTATCTCCTGGGTGACTCCTGGCAGAACTTTCTTCACCATTTGAATTAAAGAGGAGCTTGAAGGAGGCCAGACTGCACAAGCCCAGAGGGGAATATGGCCACTACACAGAGGTTAACACCCCTACTCTAGTGGACAGTGCCCTGGCATCTTTAATGACCAAATAGCCAGGAGAGCAGTTTAAAGTCTCATCCGAAGGCCGGCAACTCCTACAGCCCAGTGTCCTCAGCAACTAGACTCGAGCATGGGTTTGGAAGATCTGGTGCAGGAGAGGAGCGCCACCTACTGGCCCACCAACGCCGCTGGTTGCAGCAACCGGGTCTATCTTGCTGGTCTCCCAGGCAGGTTTAAGTTACAAAAGTGAAAAATGGCAAATAGATCTTGAACAAGTACAATGGAATTCTTGTTCGCCCTTGTTCTCTTTCAGGTGAGGACAACGATAAATAAAAAAACAGTAAGCAAGCAGAGCAGAAAGACACCCCAGTACTAACCAGGCCCAGCCTTGCTTAACCTCTGACACCTGACAAGATCAGGCTGCAAGGACTTGGACTGCACGGACAGTGGGCCTTGAATCAGCTCCCACTAAAAGTACCTACTGTAAGTGTTGACTGTCGATTTAGCAAATGGATATTTTGGTAGCCATGATGATATCAATGGTGTAAAGGGAAGCTTGATTTCAAAGTGAGTTCTCAGAAGTCGGGACGCACGCAAGGGTGGCCAATCCTGCTGTGGCGGCTTCTCGTCTTCCCTCTGGGAAGCTCGTCCCGGCTGTGCGCGCTGGCGTGCCGGATCCCGGCCTCACCGGCGATGCTCCCACCTCTCTTTTCCCCAGGAAGCCCGAAGGCAGGGACACGGCATGTCGGTTCTGTGAGAATTCGTACGACCTAGGCCAACCAGCTCCTGGAAGGTTTTTGAAAAGTCCTGTTGCATTTTTCTCCTCTGGAAGACGCCCCTCTGGTGCCAGCGGGAGAGTCGGAGACTTAGACTTGCCGGGAGTGTGCCAGTTGGGCGTCAAGGTCTAGGCCAGGGGCTTCCTGAATGGCTCTGGTTTGCAGGTGGACTGTAGGGCTTATAGTCCAGACGTTGCCAGTCCTGGTCTGGGCCAGGTCATTAGCTGACTGTGACTGGGGGTTTGTAAGCAGGGTGCACAGCAGGCTTGATTAGCCCTCAATATGACACCCCACTGGCTGCACGAGACACTTCCATTATCCCCGAGAGCCCCCACTCTCCCATAAGGCACTGTGGAGCCCAGAGGGCCTTGGGCGGCAGGCAGGCGTGGCGTGACTGCGGCCCTGGTGGAGGAAGAGGAAGGCGAAGTGACATTTGGACTGGATTAAGGAAATACCGTGTGTTTGCGTTTCCTGCCCGGATGACGGCTGGTGCCCCAACCCCAACCCCTCTCGCTCCCTGCACTGCGATCCCCAGGGGGTGAGTCCTCGCTCCACTGTCGCGAGAGTGCTCCCTCTTGTGGCCAGCCCAGATGTGTGCGCCTCCTGCACCATTGACCTTGCCTTGTGCACGCTCCTCCTCCTAACAACCATCATAATGGTGGTCCTCTTGGGGGGGGTGAGGGGTGCCAGACAAAGCAGGAAGTGTTTTCGCCCTTCGCCCGCATGGGGAGGCAGTGGGGGTGGCGTGTGAAAGTCCCCCTTTGTGCAGGACGACAGAACAACAAGCCCTTTCACGAGCGAGCAGCCCTCCGAGAAGCCCCAGCGGTGGATTAGCATGACAATGGGGGCGGGGGCGGTCTTGGTCATGGGGGCCTGAGGGGTGTGGAGTTTGGCCTGCAGACGCCTGCAATTCTGTGATGGCCTCTCTTCGCGTGGGGAGGATGCCAAGTCCTCTGCAGTAGGCATGAGCCCGTCCCACCCCTGCACTTACATGGGCCAATGAAGAGCCAAGGAAACAAAGCCCCCAATGTTTCTCTCGGCCCTGTCGGTCAGCCACTGCGCTCGGCTGTGCAACATCTGCTGCCCTTGGATGTAGGCCTGTTGCCATTTTCCTAACCTAAAGTATCGCCCTTCGGGGCATTGAGTCCTGTTGGACTCCACTGTGCAGCTGAGTCGTTCATTTTCTGTGAATTAATAACTCTCCAGGTAAAAAGGTTTTCCTAGGATTGGCGCTGCATCACCTCTCAAAAAGCCTCAACCTCTGTCATCACATGTTGCTGCCCTAATTTCACGGCAGCAGCTGAATGCTTCTCTCCTTACAGCTTTCAAGACCGAAGAGACTGAGCGCCTTTATAGTCCAGTGAGTTTAGTTGCGCTTTTTGGTGGACATGCTCGGCGTGAGATGGGGGTTAACTCTACTCCGGAGCTCACATTTCGGAAACATTTCTTCCTGAAGATCACAGATTTTTCTAGTCAAGCCATGGCTGTGAATGTTTTTTTTTTCGGGTTTCTGACATGGGACTACCCCCCTTTTTAATGACGATTAATTTGTTTTTACCTGCAGTGCCTGAAACCTTCGAATTTGCACCGACTTGAGTTAACAGCTCATTTTCCGGAATGAACACGACCGGGATAGATCAGATCAGGTGGGAAGTTGTGGTATTTGGTACCAAATAGTTTCTTGACCCTCAGCGGGGAAAGGGACTGAAAACGAGTGTCTTGCAGGGCTGTCCAGTCCTGGTTGTGGATGGCCAGTGTGCCAACAGCCTCTGCAGGGACAGGAGAAGCAGTTAAGAGTGCGCCAGTTCAGCACGTTACCCGCTGAGTTAGCTCATTGAGAACTGAGCAGGACTGAAAACCTGCATCCCTCCTGGACCAGGACTGCAATCACTCTGCTTCCAGCTCTCCTGTGGGAGTGCCTCTGGGAAGACTCTGGGTGATTGTGAAATAAAATTGATCGCCTCCGGGGGGCAGTGTTCATGGGCCCGTAGGAGCTCGTCATGCAGTTCTGTGGAGTGGAAACAAGATGCAGAACTCAGCCTGTTCTGTCAACATCTATTCATACAGTGACTGCGGTCTGTAGAGGAAATAGGCTCTTATTAGCAGAGATAATTCAGCCAGGGGTTACATTAAATAATTAATCAGGACAGTATATTGTTGGTCATTAGCTAATGTATAATAATTGCTTACACTTCTATAGCGCTTTTCTGGACTTTGCACTCAAAGCGCTCTACAGGTAATGGGAAATCCCTTCCAACACCACCAGTATGCAGCCCCCACCTGAACGATGTGACGGCAGCCAAAGTGCACCAGTACGTTCCCCACTCGGACGGACATCTCCCAGTTCAGAGCCACACGGGACTCGGGCAGGGGAATCCCAGACTGTCAGGGCCCCTGGAGGATTAACTCACTGTAATTTCAAGGACTGCTCATGAGGTGGAACCTTCTGCAATAAGTCTTCCGAAGCAGATCGCAGCTCGACTGTGTGCTGGTGTCTGGAGGAGGAAGATGGTCCAAGCAGTCTCGATGCAGGTCACCGTAACGAAAACATCAGGACTCCTTGAGTACACCAGTGTGATGTCCAGCCCTCTCATCTGACTTGACCAACCGTCCTGTCGGGGGCGATCAGCAGGTGACGGCGGTGCCGGCGCTCCCTACGGCTGCTCCTCTTGCTCCACAGCGCTACTGACATTCGCTGACGTCAGGGAGGTCTTGACTTGACGAGTTGGCAGCCTTGCCCTGATGTCATCCTCAGAGGACCCCCTACCGCCAACACTCAGAACCGTGCATCCCCCTGACCCTGTCCCGAGCAGACCCTCTCCCGGTCCTCCAGGGAACCCACGGACACTCCAGACATCCCAACAGGGTTCACAGTGGGAGCAGAGGGAAGGGGCCGGGCTCTGGCTTTTATTTCCAACCTCTATTGTCTTGGAGTGTTTTTCCAGTGTGCAGCCCCACCTGGATGATGCAACAGCAGCCATAGTGCGCCATTACACTCCCCACACACCTGCTATCAGTGGGGAGGAG